CAGCTCACTCTCTATGGGCTACGTTTTGGTCCATGTTTCACAACTAACTGAACACACTGTGAGACGCTTTCTGAGTCCCCAGGCTGCAGCATTAAATGCAGAACCTCTTCTTAAGGAACCCATATCAACCAATTCATCCTAATCCAAGTTCATGTTCTTCTCTGCACTGTCTCACACCCTTAATGTCCATTCTCATACATGTTTCCCAGAGCTGTTTGTTTAAGATAGAAAACTCAAGTAGTTCCTTTGGAGTGTAGTGCACCTCTGCATGGGTCCCACTTTGAACCTCACCTCTAGGGGTCTGCTGAGAGCTGAGTTTAGCTATAGCAAAGAGGGGGGGTAGGGGTAGGTCCTGTCTTTGTCTGCTTGGGCTGCCATAACAAAATACCATAGACTGGGTGGCTTAAAGAACAGAAATTTACTTCTCGCAGTTCTGGAGGCTGGAAGTTCAAGATCAATGTGATGGTTGATTAGGTTTCTGGTGAGAGATCCCTTCCTGTCTCGCACATGGCCACCTTCCTGTCGTGTCTTCAAAATGGACTTTCCTTGTGTGCATACGGAGAGACAGAGATCAGGTTCTCTATATCTGCTTATAATGCCACCAATCTTATTAGATTAGGACCCCATCCTGATGATCTCATTTAACATTAATTACCTCTTAAATGCTCTATATCCAAACACATTCACACTGAGGGTTAGACCTTGAACACTGGATTGTGGGTGGTACACCATTCATGGCAGAGGCTATGAACCTATAAAAGGGAAAAGAATATCTTTATTTTTTTCTAAACTTTAACCAAAACTTTGCATTCCCTTCAAACATTTTTGTCACTAACAGACAAAAATACTAGCAGTACTCGTGACTTTGTCATCATAAGAAATCAGATGTTTCGTATCACATTACAGTTGGTCCATAGATCTTAGGAAATTGCTTATGCTTGTCACTCTTTCCAAATCACAGCACTTAGAGGATCTTCCACTGCAGGCACACATATTATCGTGTTACCAGTATATCTGTATTTTGGTAAACGTTTTCAATATCTGATCACCTTGTAATTTCATGTACTTTATTGCAAAGATTTAAAAGCCTTATCATGAGACAGCATCTGTGGGCATCTTCAGATTGCCAGAGGTGCCAGGGCTGAACGTCTCCTATACAGGGAACCCTGTATATTTAGGTTTTTGGACGTTGGGTTGTGATCCACTGGTTACTAGTTATTCAGGATCAC